CTTAAGACTATTATAACAACTGCTACTCTATTACTACTAATATTGTGACTACTTGCTAAGTACTACTACAACATACACTACTCCTTACTATCTACTATCACATCACTACTCCTACTACTACACATCACTAACTACTACTACTACTACTACTACTACTACTACTCTACTACAACTAATACTACTACTATTATAACTACAACAACTACAACTAATAACAACAATTACTACTACTGCTATTAATATAACTACTACCTCTACTAATATTATAACTGCTGCTGCTGCTAGTATTAAAGTTAGTTTCGTATCTTTTAAAGGACGTTGAAAAACCAGCCAAGCCATTTTTTGTGCTTTCTATTTAATGCAGCCATTCAGTATTTTGTCACTGCCCACTGAACGATGGATATTATTGTCGAAGTCAATACAAGGGTGTCTAATACGACTACTGCTGCTGCTACAGCTACAACTACTGTAGCTACAGCTACTGCTGCTACTGCAACCACCACTACTTAGTGGTAGTAATGGCTCCAGCAAACTGCATAGAATGTAGTAAGAGTTAGAATAATGTTCAATATTTTTATTTTTTTTATTTCTGCAGGCTATGTGAAAATTTCTGAACAGCTGAAGAATGTCCACGTAGAAGAAGGCGGACAGGCGAGGTTTTTATGTAAAGTGGAGATCCATCCTCTGGATGCCACACAGCTTGTGGTCACCTGGAGGTTCGATGGTCATTTACTGACCTCTGGACAATCACGATATGCAATGCAAAAAGAAGAGGGACCAATCTTCATTCTTCTCATTAGAAACATTCGAAATACAGACAAGGGGATGTACTCGTGCATTGCTACAGTTGGAGTCGATACGGATGTGTCCTCTGCCCATCTGCTCATTAAAAGTAAGTAAATGTTTGTCTGTGGCTTAAAAGTTGTGAACGGGCTTTGTAATTCCGTGGTGCTGGGTTTGATCCTAGCTTCGCGGGATATGGCATCAGACTGTTTTGCAGTAGTTTCGACAGTGGTAGCGAGAGCCTACTGTTCAGCAAATGGAAAACTACTAAACTAAAAATTGCCTAGTGAAATCGCAGTTACAAAAAATTATTTGGTTGCTTCTGCTCCTTTTTCTTTTTCTTTAGTCCTCTTTTACAGCTTTGGATTTCGTTGAAGATAAAATGTCCTGCATCTCGTGCCTTTATGATTGTTTCGACCATAGACTCATCATCGCGCTGTAGAGCTTATCTGATTGTTTATCTTTCCATTATGTGCTTGGTCTACCTCTTGCTCTACGTCATTTCGCTTTGTGTGTGTGTGTGTGTGTGTGTGTGTGTGTGTGTGTATGCCTTGTATGGAACAGCATCAGGTGGCATTCTCTCCAAGTGGGCAAACCATTTGATTTGCTTTTTTTTTATATGTAATTTAGAATTGGTTCTGTGCCCCACTTAATCTCGTCCGACCTCATTCCTGATTTTACCTGTTCTGATCACTCATACAGTCTTTCTCAGACACCTCATTTCGATGGTTACTAATTTGTAATGTGTAGGATGCGCACTAACTTTAAACTTCTGCATTTTTAAAAAAATAAATGACTTCGGTTGTCAGGTAGATCCAGTGTAAAACTCATAGAGTTAATGTTGTATGAAGTGAAGTTGTGACTTTGACTGTATCATCCATCCACTGTCCTTTAGTCTGTATAATACTGACACAAAATTTCTGATGCGACGATGGGACGAGAGAAGTCCATTACTGATTACTCTCAATCAATCGCAACTCTTCCTCACTTAAATCCAAGTCCTTGTGCAAGTCACTTTCATCCAGCTATCATCATCATCATCATCTTCATCATCATCATCATCATCATCAGCATCAATAAGAGAGTATTTTATGGCGAGCTCCAGCAAGGAAAGAGGTCCCAGGAGGGTAGGGGGTGTGAACACAGCGACGTGGGAAGCTGCCGCACAAGACCGTTCTGGATGGCGTGCGTCTCTCATGCATGGTGCAGGGGTTGCACAGGCAGAGAAACAAAGCCAGACTAGAAAGAATCGTACTGCTAATCCTACACTTACTGCAGCTTCCATCTCTTGTCCACACTGTTCAAGAACTTTCCAGGCTCATACTGGACTAACCAGCCACCTTCGTACACATAATCAGTGATTGTTACTACTTTGGATGAAAGTGGTCTTCATCGCTCGCGATGGACGAACAACACTTTCAATCAATCAGGTGCCTCGGCACAATGACGGTGGGCGGCAACAGAGCTCCGCGCTGTGTCTTTCGCCTTGGATGGTCACTCTCTCAGACTGCTGGTCGACCGACCACCTCTCGATGGCATCATCTCACGTGTATATGAATAACTGTAAGTGTATGTTTGCTTGGCTGTTGTACCCCACCAGGACATCACACAAGCGATAAACACCCGGTAGCACCTGCCACCGTGTGTTTGAGGATCACACGTGGAGAGGTCCCAGTAACCCCTTGCGGCCGTTTTATTAATGGCCCGGCTATATTCAGGGCCTCCCGACAAAGCCGGGGGAGGGGGGGGGGGGGCTTTAAATAACGAAAAATTGCATCCCACATAGGGACGACATGATGATAAGTATACGAAGTAGTAGTAGAAGTAGTAGTAGTTGTAGTAGTAGTAGTAGTAGTAGAAGTAGTAGTAGTAGTAGTAGTAGAAGTAGTAGTAGTAGTAGTAGTAGTAGTAGTAGTAGTAGTAGTAGTAGTAGTAGTAGTAGTAGTAGTAGTAGTAGTAGTAGTAGTAGTAGTAGTAGTAGTAGTAGTAGTATATTTTACCCCACTAGGACATCACACAAGCGATAAACACCCGATGACACAAAATGCCGCCATGCGGATAGGATCACAGTGGAGAGGTCCCGGAAACCGCGTTCAGCAATTAGATCATATTTATGGCCGGGCTATGTTGCGGCTCCTGGAAAGAGACAGGGTGGGGCTGCAAAATAACGAAAAATTGCATCCGAAAAGGGTATGTCAGACAATGCATGACGTTTAAGTATAGGTTATATAAGAATCGGGCTCCGAGGTGGTTCTTATCTGGTGTTTCTGGCAATTAAATGCCACCTGAGGCAGATATTAAAAAGAAATCATCTGAGCTTACAGATAATTGTATTATTATGTTATATTATAATAATCGACATCACTGCACGATCGACATTCTCATGCATGCTCAGTCCTAAATTGCAGCAGCCACTCCAATGTACCTATACTGATTGTTCCCACGAGAAGCTGTGTATATTGTCACCTATCTCGTCTTCCACAATAGATAGTAAAGGACTTTTCAGTGCCAATGTCGTATCGAGCAATGCAGCAGGCTGCATGCAGTTGTAAGTATATATATATATATATATATATATATATATAATATATATATATATATATATATATATATATATATATATATATATATATACAACACACACACTTATACACGCACGCACACACACAATTACCTATCTACCTACATACAGCTAAGGACCATTACCATTAAAGCACTTTCCTTTACCCTTTCCCTTTAAAAGATTTGTAACAGGACTGACCCATCCGCTGACACCCCCCCCCCCCCCCCACCTCGGAAAGTTTTCATTGTTTTAACGCCCCTGTTGTGGGCTACAGTGTAAGGAAATTCGATTGCGTGTCTACCAAATAAGCCATGTCATCAAGAGTTTTTATAAAAGCAAACGATTTGCCACAATCGCGATTTCAGTCAACGAATCCAACCTAATCCAAACAGAGCTTTGGTTTAATCTGTCACGACAATATCAAGCTAACCTCAGTTTCAGTATCAGGAAATAACTCACAGTTACTGGGGCTTTCGTGATTCCAAATGGGTCTTTCTAATGGTGAACCTCTAATCCTCTTTGTTTACTGTAGCACTAAAACAGTTTTATTTCAGTAGAAAAATAGAAAGACAATTAGATATGGAGGCTGGGCTAAAACACGCAAAGAGAAATAATTATAATTAAGCTGAGTTGGAAGATTCTTCTGAGAAAACCAACGAAGGGAAGTCACGTATAATGTTTCTGATCATTATTGAAGAAAGTCGAGACCTTTGAACCGTGAAATCTTAGAAACAGGCGTGTCGACAAAGAGAAAACAAAGCATTTCGAAAGGGAATTTGGGGGGAAGGGAGAGGGGGCGGGAGGGGGACGTTTAGTGTTTTGCTGCTACATATATTCTTGTTTTCTTAGATTAAATAAGGGGCTAAACACAACGGTAGACATAGTCATTGCACAAAGTCGTCCCCTGAATAATCTTGTCATCCTTTTCTGGGATGCAATTTGTCGTTATTTGAAGCCCTACTCTGGCTATTGCCAGGGACCGCAGTATAGCCCGGCCATAAATATGGTCTAATGGCTGAACGCTGTTTCTGGGACCTCTCCACTGGTGATCCTCATCCACATGGTGGCACTTTGTGTCATCGGGTGTTTATCGCTTGTGTGATGTCCTGGTTGAGTAAAAAAAAAGAAGGAAGAGAGTCGTCCCCTTTTGGTATGCAATTTTTCGTTATTTTGAAGTCCCACCCTAGTGTTTAAAGCTCTGTGTGATGTCCTTGTTGGGTAAAACTTATTTACCTATAAACAGTACCGGTAAATAATTTCACAGAACATCAAAGTTTCAAAGGAAATAACGTCACCCCAATATAGGACGCCATATGTTTGTTCTTTTAAAATTTATCCCGGCTGTAGTCGGGAAACCTAGTATAACATTACGGTTGAACATTGTTTCTGGGACTTGTACCTGGCTAATTCTCATCCTAGGTTTTGAGGTTTTGAACAGCTGATCAACATAATAGAACAGTTTATACTAGAAATATACAAAAAGTCATAGGAGACTAGCAGATGCGTCTGGAATAATAGTTACAACATCATCATGACTGCCACAAATACATAGTATAATTTCGGCTACACAGAAAGATCATTTATCACAAATATGTACCACTACTGCCCCTCCCACAGATTTTGATCGAATCCATGCCTATCGAGAAACATTCTAACATTCCAGGGATACCACGCAGACACAGCTGTCTATTGGACTGCCAAACTGTCGACTGCCTTTTATTGGTCTAACCGTTTGTCAAGTCCCCTTGTAAACTCTTCTAACCCGTAATGCTCAGTTACCATAATACCCCTGTCTGTCTTGTCTACACACAACCCGTCTGACCAGTAATTTTTTTTTTTTTTGGGAACTAGTGACGAAATCAGGCCCAGCTACACACTAGCTGGCCAGTCATTGATGATTGGTCAGGCTGGTCTACGTTAGAGGGGTGTAGAATGCACTCTCTCGTGTGACCTAGGTTCAGTGTGTGGGATAGGGAGGTTGGGGTTAGGGCTAGTTGTACATGTCACGAGGTCGTTAAAACCGCTAACATCTTGTAAAATAGAGCATGCGTGGTCGCTGGTAAGACCGTCGAGACAATACAACGTCGCACCAACCTGACATCTCTGCCACTTAAACATACGCGTCTCAAAGATTAACACACATGAATGAACGTCCAATCCCAGTGTCCTGGGCTCACTTTGTCACTCATAATAAATGTGTAGCTGGGCCTGAGTTCGTTTCATGTTCCGTTCTGTCTGCTGTTATGAGGAACAGTCTAGTCGTTGTTTGTCTTTCTGTCACAGTATATGTGGTAAATTTTACTCATGACTCTGTTAAAGATCCCATATTGTGCAGAGACATGATCGCCAACACTAGTCGGCAAGGTACTTGATAATAATAAATATTTTAAAAAACTGAGTAACAACTTGAAAACGTGAAAGACAAAGAGATGAATACTTGGATGTCTTGACACTGAGAGAAATAACACACTCCATTATAAAATCATGATCATCTACCACTTCCACTGCTGAGACTTGGGGAGGAACACTTTGAGGTGTAACTCTCG